CGTGGAGGCGGCGGTAGAGGGCGGCCCCTGCCCACGGCGAGAGCGCTCAGCCCCTGCCCAGGGACAGGCCCGCTGGGGAGGGGCCGGCGAGCTAGGGGTGGGCGCGCCCCGGCCCCAGGCCCACCCGGCCCAGCCTAGAGAGCAGCTCCCTGTCCAGGGCCAGCCCGACGCACACAGGCACAGGGAGGACGGCAGCAGGGCCGGCCTGCGGGGAGCGCTGGGGCACCGGGCGCAAGGGGCACGCTCACCTTTCAGGTTCTCCACACGGGGGCTGCTGGGCCGGTGCAGCGAGAAGCTGGTCTTTGTAGCCAACTTGCCGCCCAGCACCACCTCGTGGGACACCACTCTTCGGCCACCGGCTTCTGTCAGGGTGGGGTGGGGACAAGCCCGACTGGCTCAGGGACCCCGGTCTTGGCTCCCTCGGCGGCCCACCCAGACCGGACTGCGTGCCTGTGGGCCCGGGGCTTCAGCACTTACCCACCCCCACCCCGCAGAGTCCTCTTAGATCCTGGGTAGGGAGGCACAGGAGGCCGGGGACGGCTGGACGGGGGCCTAATGGCTTTCGAGGGCTTTGTGCTCCCTGCTCCCTGCCACCCCGCTGTGGGGCCCACCCAGGGCCCTCCGAGTAGCTAATGGGGGAGCACGGCCTGCTTAATGCACCTCGAGAGGCGAGGCGAGGCGAGGCGAGGCGAGGTGGGACTGGGTGCGCAGCGAGGCGGGGCGGGACGCGGCGTCTTAACCCTGGCCCTTTCTTCCTCCCCAGCTTAATGCACAGAGCACGCGGCTCCGGCGCCTTGCCTTTGAAGAGGCCATTAGGGGGCCCTCGGCTCAGGAGGGCGCTTAAAAGCGAGAAGAGCCGCTCTGAGGGAGAGAGCACACTTACTGTTGAGGCAGGGCACGGCGCCGGCACCGGGGACCAGGCCCCTCAGCTTCTTAAGGGTGTTCACCGCCACGTTCAGGTAGATGTTCTTGCTGGGACTGCGGTCGTAGGCCACCTTCTCCTCGTTCAGCGCCTGTGGGGGGTGCACTCAGCCCGCAGTCACAGCCCTGCCCCATGGCCCCCGATCACCCCACCTTCTCCACGGCCTCCTGGTCCGAGGAGCAGACCTGGGGGGACCCTCCCTGCCCCATGGCCCCCGATCACCCCACCTTCTCCACGGCCTCCTGGTCCGAGGAGCAGAACTTGAGGCACTCTTCGACAAACAGGTTGAGATAGCGCTGGCGGATGACGGTGGGGACTTTGCCCCCGAACTCTTTGGGGATAATGGGTTTCTTTAAACTCTGGAGGAAGACAAGCGCCTTGAGAGACCAGGCTGGGAGGCAGCAGGACGCCCCACCTGGAGCCCCGGGGGCCGGAACGCGCCGGCGTCCATGTGCGAGCCTGGAGCCCCCAGAGGAAGTAACGGGGGAGGGCGGGGTGCCCCTCCCTCTGCCCTGGCCAGTGGGCTCCCCGGCAGTTAGGGTAGAGGAGGGCCAATCGCTCAGGACAGGAAGGGCGGGGGCTACCTGCAGAGATGGGCCGTGGGCGACCCGCCGGGGCGTGGCGGTGCTGGTGGTCTTCGACGCCATCCCTGACAGCGTGCGCGTCTTCAGTGGCTGGGCGCC